AAAAAAGAGGTGAGCTTTTGCAATGGCTACCCTGCTGTAGTAAGCCCACACTGAGCTGTGTGTGAGGTGGGGTGGGGGAACAACACCCCTAGAACTTGACAATAAACCACAGCAGCATTGGGTGAAAAAGCTCCTACATAACACACACAGCCCACAGGAAAGGCTTTTTAAAAATGCCACACAGTATAATTAGATGGGCCCAACCGGACTGGCTTTCATTTCCTGTGAGTCCTTCATTTCAGAGCTGCCATCACTCAAAGAGCAGTGATTACTTTAACACCTTTGCTGATTACATAAGAGACAGCATGCACCCGGGTGTGGCGTAATGGGATAGAAACACATGTGCTGAGAAACAAGCAGTCACAAGCACTGCTGTCTTCCAGCAATGTTTGATGACCTTATTATCCTTACAAAGCACATGTATGATTTTGCAAACGAGGATGGTAGCGTCTTACTGTTCTGGGATACAGGGTGGAAACGATTGTACAGCTTTCATGGTGACTAACAGGGGAATGATCTAGTCAGGACTATGGTAGCTAGCAAGCCTCAAGTAGTCTTGGCAAGAAAAAGATAATTAATCCCTTCAACAAATCTCCCTATCATGACTCTTTCTTGGGAAGCCCTTCCATTTGCTAATGAACAATCCTGGCTGCATACCATCTGGCTAAGCCCCCTAACATTATGGCTGAGCATTGCTACAACAGAGTTCAATTCTGGAGCACAAAACTGTCTTAAGTTATCACAGCATGAATCAGTCCAAAGTCTAGGATTAATTTATTGTTCTTCAGCAGCATCCCCCATACCCAACCATGAGACCAGACAAAAAGACAATGGCTTGGGGTCTATGCCTTCTCCCTGCTTGCACTCATCTTTGCCCTTTACAAAGATGGTCTTCTGCTGCAGCATGCTTCCTCTGGTGCTAGGCACTTCCACTCATGCAAGACCAGTGTTTTTTGAAGAGCTGAAAAGTGTCTAGTGTGAGAAAATTGTGCTCCATAGCACAGGTCCACTTCTGCAGCGGCTAAAGAAAGGTTCATGCAGAAAGAAAGTACAGGAACCAAGCCATGGCCTTTTTACCATCTGATCTTCCGTGCTGCATCAAAGACATGGAAGACAGCCTGCGCCTGGAGAAAATGTACAATTTTTGTGATCTTTTTTAGCACTACAAATGGCTCCTACATATGTTTACTTGGCATTCAGAGAGACTTACACCCATTGAAAGGGCCACAGCCTTAAAGCACAAGTTCCTTGAAACAGTTTCTGTGGGAGCAGTTTTGTTTGAAAAAAGCCAAGATGCAGAGAAGACCCTGAAGTAATCTCTACCTTGCTCTAGGGAAAGCGTGCTGAGTATTCATTATGCAAAGAGAAGCAGAAAATAATAATGGCAGAACCTCAATGCCTGGAGGACTTGAATGGGCTTCCTTCAGTGCAGGCTGACACAACATCAGCTGCGCCTCAGCTGAAGAGCAACACTGCCAATAAGTTTCCAAAATGTCAATACAGCGTGACATTAAACCACAACAAACACACACATGTGCTTTGTCCTGACTTCGTTTTCAAATTAACAACACTAATATCATTATTATTATTATTAGTCAGGCTGTACACAGACATGGTTTTATACGCAATGAGTCCTGAAAGATCATTACCGGCTATATCAACAACGCTCACAGAATTTAGTGACATCTCTGGTGGCCTCAAAGTTAATTTTTCCAAATCCTTATTATATCCAGTTAAACTAACACACTCTGTGTACATTCTTCGAAACTGCGCTTATAAATGGGTGAAATGCCATTGACAATATTTGGGTATACCAATCCCTGTGAATTTACAAGTCTTATTCAGCATTATTTGGAGTTAGAAAAATCCATTTTATCTATGCTGACACAGTGGATAGATATGCAAGCTTCTTGGATAGATAGAATTAGTGTTATAAAGTCATTTATTTTACCTAGGTTTTTATTTAGAGCAATTCCAATTCATATTCTGGGTTACATTATACACAGATCGGAATCTGTGTTAACTAATTTTATCTGGCAAGGAAGGAAACCTAGAGACAATTTTAAAACTTTAAGCCGACCCCGAGACGAAGGTGGGCTAGCTTTCCCGGATCTTCATAGGTATTACAAGGCTACTGTTCTCTATTCCCTACTAAAATGTTAAAATAAAATATCTAGTGGACTGGAAAACCATAGAAAATATGGATTTACAACTTAAGACATTTCTGGAACTATTGTGGGCTAAGGATTCTGATAGACCCTCAGCTCTGAACTCTAATTGCTTCCTATTATTGCTATTTAAAGTATGGGACAAATATCGAGGCACTTTTTCTCAATTTCCTTCCCCCTTACCAGCTTCCTTGGTCAACAATGGTTTCTTCTGGGGAAAGATCAGAAAGTTTTTACAACTTGGAAGGAAGCCAATCTTTGTAGATTTATTGGCATCTCTGAACAGGGACAGATTGTTGAATAAGATTATTTTAGATAGGAAGTGCATTACTCCTCTCCCACGGTATGAATACCTCCAAGTTAAACATATGTTTACCTCTCCTCACATACAGGACTGCTTAAAAAGTTCTCTTTTTAACCCAGATTCACAAAAGGGAATAATATCTAAAATTTATGGGATTCTTTTACATCGTACTTATAAGAACCCTCTGCCCTATCAGGCAAAGTGGCAAATAGATTGCAATCGAGATATTTCTAATTCTCAGTGGAAGAGGATATGGACATCTTCTGCCTTCCGGTCTAAATTGCTCAAAGTGTGAGCCGCCCTGAGCCCGCATTGCGGGAAGGGCGGGGTATAAATTGAATAAAATAAATAAATAATAAAGTGCAACTTATCTCTGTTAAACTGCTCACGAGATGGTATACAACCCCATCCCTACTGCATTGTATGAATGTTTCCTGCCCCCCATTCTGCAGGAAGAACTGTGATGAGCAGGGAACATTCATACATTGCTGGTGGTCATGAATATGTTAGACACTTTGGGGGCATTATACTTAACCAAATCAGAAATATAACTGGTTATACCATCCCAAATACACCTGAATTACTATTACTGAATATGTGGGACAATTCTGATCTCCCTAAAATATGTCAAGAATTAATCACAATCTTACTTACTGCTGCTAAATGCCTCATAGCTCAGAACTGGATAAACTCATCTCTACCAGTGATAGAAAATTGGGATTTAAAGGTTTGGAATTTTTTTTATAATGGATAAAATTGTAGATTCTGTCTCACATTCCAAACCTCATCTTGGTCTTTCTAACAGAAAAAATGGTTTCCCTTTTTGGAATCCACAGCTCAGAATTTGAAGTCGAAAAATTATGGTCTGCAACATCAGTACCACTATATATTGTCTCTCTTCTGAAGTAATGTGGAATAGAAGTCCTATAATCTCACTCTTCTATATTCTCGTTTTCTATTTAGCTCTAAAGTTATGCTATTTAGATTGTCTTCTCCTATAAATGTTTGGTAATAGTTGCATTTGTTAAGTATGATTATTGCTTACAGGTTGTTTAAAGATTGTTGTCTTAAGATGCTGTTGGTAAAATATTGTACTATTGTTATAATTCAAATGCTGATGTTTGGATTGTTATAATTTCTTCAATTTTCAATAAAAATAAAAAAAATAAAAAAGGTTAGCACCAGAACCTTGAACCTGATCCGGTACTCCACCAGGAACCAATGCAGCTTGTGCAGCACAGGTTGAATATGTGCTGCTCATGGAGTCTCAGGGGTGTGAGAAACAGAAGCTTCCACTGGATGTTGAATCTAAGTAAAGTACATTATTTGTAAGAACTGATTAAAATCTCTGTCGGCTCATTTACAGCAAGATGAGGAATGATACCATCAAAATGCAGCAACCTCACTATTGCTAAAGGCCTATATCATTTTTAAAACACCACACATACACAATTGTTACTCACTTATTGCGTAATATCAGGTACATTCTGACAAGATACTGCTTCTACTATAGAAATATCTGAGTTTCCTGCTACCTGTTTGGGGGGGGGGATGCAGTTTTTACTCTAACCAGTACACTGTTGCGCTTACAATTAGGACTCGAAACACAACTTCTCAAATGTCATAGATAACTTACTGGACAATGACTGTGACATCACTAGTATCCAGCAGCACAACTCAAGCTCATGGTCATTCTTGCAGGTTTATTTTTTACTTCTCTAGATGATTTCTTTTTTCTTGTACCCTGTGGGAGTGCTCATGTAGTCCCTTGAAAAATTAAAATAAAAAACCCTAGTAATGCCCCACCATTAAAAAAAAAAAGTTTAATGATACAAGGACATGCTCTCCCCTTCAGCCCTGAAGACCTCTTTTCTTATCCCTCCAAGATTTACCTTTTTGTTGGTAAAACCAATAGGGGACACATACACCCCACCGCCAAATATGTGTATGTTGTGCTACTGACCCTGGACTGGAACTAAAATAAGTATAGAAGGAAAAGTCAGAGAATTTTTATTATTGTTTGGAAAAACACCAAGTGACCGCAGAGCAGTTTCTAATACGCAGTATATAAGTTCAAAATTGATTTTATGTCCCGTTAAAAGAGTAATGTCCAACATCCCCAAATTGTATACAGGACAAAACTGTTTATGATGTTAAGTTTACAATCCTAATGATATTTACTATGGAGTAAGTCCCATTGAAATAAACAGAATTTCCTTCTGAGTATATATATTTAAGACTGTACTGTTGGTTATCTTTCTGACTCACAGAGACACTCTACATGACTCCCATTTTTAAAAAATAATAAAATGCAACAAACACATCAGATCTCACATTAAAACAATCACTGCATCTAATAAAGAAGTGACTGGTCCATGTGCAGATGACGAAAACAGCAAAACCAGGCCACCTACAGACAAAGTAGGGATCTCTGCCTACACAGGAATCACCCTAGGTATTAAAAAATATAAAATGGTAATTAACCAAAGGGAAAAACACATACAAAAACAGTCTGATGAGGACTAAAGATGATCCAGAAGGAAGGGAATGTTGAGAGTAGCTGAGTGTCAGTTAAAGGACAAAGGCTCTCTCTAACTTGACACAAAAAAACCCAGACTATCATACCACAAAACCTCTTTGCGGGTAGTTTTGCTTCTACTATGAATTCTTAGCCTGAATGAAAGTTTGCTCTACTTCTTGCATTTGGGCCCTCCCTCTTTTTAAGTAGTTTTCCACTTGCTGGTCAAAGGTTTGAAGGGTCCAATGCTTTGAGCTGTTCAACGGAGAAAAGTCATACTTCTGAAGAAGGCTCCCTGGAGCATTGGTAGGCTGGAACACCATGTCCTTTTGGGAGCCATGTGTGTCATTGATGTCATTTTGAACAGGGTGCAGTGTTGCTGAGGGGACACAGTCTTCCAAGCCTACTTGGCAAAGATGATTGTCACCCCCCAAGCTGGAACAAGGAGTCCTGACAACCACTTCAAAACAGGGCAGTGTGTGCTTTGATGTTACACTCGTCTCATGTTTTTGGAACGGATCAGCAATCTTGTCCTCTGACTGATGTTTGATAGATGTCACATCAGACTGCACTGGAGAATGTCCACTCTGGTCCTCCAGTTTTTGAGGTTTTACCATCATTATTGTCTGCTTCCCTCTACCCAGAGAGTACCCAGAACACCTTCCTTTAGAATAAGGCAGAGATTTCTTCAGGGGCTTTGGGCAGCTTTGCTGGGAAACCTCTGCATCCTGGCTATCTTCAAACAAAACCCCCTTTGGAACTTGGCAACAGGAAGTTAGTTTTAGTATCTTTGAGGGCCTTTCCTGCCTCTTGCTTGGTAGCTGCATGAATCTTTTCACCGATTCAGGTACTTTGGACTCCTTAAGTGACTCATTTTCCGATCTCAAGTACTGCCTGAAATATTTCTGACATTCTGCCGTCTTCACTACTGGGATTATGGAACAGGGCTTCAGCCAAGCCACAAACTGCAGCAACTCTTGGAAAGATGAGTGGTCTGAGTAAGGAACAATGTGGGCATCAGGGTGACTGATCTTCACTGGCCGACTGGTGGGGAGGATAGCTATGGTTGGATGCCTCTGGTTCCAGCGGATCATATTTGTTTGGCAGATTTCTGAAAAATCCACAACATGAATCCAACCAGCCTCTTCCTCAGTTCTGAACACATTCTCCAGCCCCAGTAGCTTCATCAATTCAAGCTTCCTAGGACTCACCACAATCCAAGTGCCAAATTCTTGAGCTAGCTGTACCAAGAGGGACTCCTTTCCCAAAGTGTAGGTACCTGGAAAGGATAAGTAATCACTTTAATGTTCAAAGGCCATATGGAATGATCCTGTTAATTCAACCTTCACAGATCATTTCAGAGAAATGTAGTAATACATCAATCTGAGGGCATTTGGATATAGCAACAGTTTAGTTGCTAGACTTTATTACTTTTGAAACCAAGACTTCAAGGAACTGAAACACCACACCTTCTTTGACAGAGAGAAATTGAGTCCACACTTTAAAATATCTGTAAACTTGCCATTCTGAATAACTATCCAGACTCTGCAGATTTTCTGTATTCTGCAGTTATAAACTAGATGAGATTATCTTTAACAAATGACACTGGAAAAGCACGCTTATAAACTGAAAAAGACATACTTTTTGTCCTCAAATATTAAATCTGTTTCACTTTTGTGCTCTGCTTATTTGGAGTGTCACAGTAAACTGATCTGCTACCCACTTTGTTTGAAGGTCAGCAGCTTGCCTCAATCACCATTTGGAAATTTCACCCCAATCTTGTAGGACAGCTCACCAATTTTAACCAGGTGACAGGGGTGGGCCCTGATCAGCTCTTTGATTTGCTCAGTGGCCTTCTGCCGGGATGGTAGGATAAGCTCAGGATGGCAGTTGGTAGTGTCCAAGTAGAGAACATTGATCAGTTTTGTGTTCTTCAGAGCTGGCTCCTGCTGCATGTCAGGATTGTAACGAAAATCACCTGCTCAGAAAAATATCAAAGGTTTTCAGAATAACATACCTACCCCTGTCAAGAGAAACAACCACTTAGAAGTTGGCAGAAGTAGTTTTAATGTCTTCATTTATCCTTGCAATACCTTTGGGAAATTACTATGTCTAAATGACTGTTACCCATGACCAAAAAGTGAGTGTTGAAGATGAAGGGAGATTTAAATTTGTGCTCCCACACCCAAGACAAAACCTCAGCCAATGTAATATAATAGCTACCAATAGCCCACAACAGGGTAGTAGTAGCAGCAGTAGAATGTATTGTATTTAGCCATTGGCCATTACAAATTTTACAAAATCATAAAATACATTAACAGGTAAAACTTTAATTTAAATTAGTTAGGCCCATAATAGTGACAACTGTGCAATACTGCAGAAATGGGAAGCTATTTAATTTATACGTCACTCACCTTTCTCCCTAAATGAGGGCCAAAAGCAGCTTATGTTGCATCACCTCCATTTTATCCTCACAATAACTTTGTGAGGTAGGTTAGATGAGAGTGTGTGACTGGCCCAAGGTCACCCAGCAGAGTGGGGATTCAGACCTGGCTCTCCCAGATCCTAGTCCGATAGTCTAACAACTACACCATACTATAAGAAGCGACGCTTTTTAGAGATCATCATGTAGTTGTCATTAAGATCTTAGCATTGGGGGGAAAATTAAGAGGAAGTAAAGTTGGGAGGTGGAGGAAAATATTAGGAAGAGTTCAAAATATGAGATGCCCATCTCTCATAAACAAAGAATTCATACCTGTGTAGAGGATGACACCGAAGTAGCCTTCAAAGAGAAACATGACAGATCCAGGACAATGGTTAGCATCTATCAAGGTCACAGTCATAGTTTCTTGGCCAGTGTCATCCATAGGCATGACGTGGCTCTCCCCCACTTCAAGAGGGTGGATCCAGCACTCAGCAACCTGGAATCAAAATGAATGCATGTTACAGTCAATCAAAGTCTTCCTTTAAGACAGCAGTTCTCAAATTTTAGGAACCAAAAGCCCCCATTTTGATATGGGGGGGGGAGAAATTAAGGATCAACAAGCCCTCCCCTTTTCCCTCACTGGTACCCACCATATGTCACAAAGCCCCTTTCAAAGCGTGTAGCAAGCTGTATGTGCCCCATGGCGGCTTCCATCCTCTAGTGCCCTCTAAGCATTACAGTAAGAACTACATCAGTGACATTTTAAAAGCAAGTGTTGCTTGTCCATGGCCTACAAGGTCAGGTCTTAACAAGGGTAACAAATTTTGTAAGGCTACAATCAAAAATCCCTCACCCACATTCTAATCAATCTCCCCACAACCTAGATTGGCCAGGACTTTGTACTTGGAACTGCAAAAAAAAAATCCTTATTAATATCTTCCAGCCAGAGGCTTGGTAAACAGAGGTGGGAAGGGGCCCGGAAAAGCTTTCACAGCTGTTCACAGAAACAGAAAAAACAATACCAGTGTCACAAAAAACAAACTTCCAGTATTCAGTTGTCCATATTGTCTATGAACAGAGTGGTCTCTCTTGCGATACCTTTCGCATTGAAAAATGCAAACGAACAAAAATTATTTTATTTCTGAAGTCACTATAACTGTATTAGCCCTGTACTTTATTAGTCCAACTCAGCCAACTAGGTCTGAATGATTAGATCCTGGCAGGTTTTCTGGTTAGTGATCAGGAAACTAGGTGCCTACGCAGTGGTGGTGGTGGTGGGTATGAGAAGACGGAGAGGACTCCATTTTCATGTAAACTAGATAAGCGTGTGAGGGGCACAACTCTCTTGTCTTTACAGAGGATTCACAGACTCTGTGAAATTTGACTCTCCAGTTTGAGAAGCACTGCCATAAGAAATACAGTAGAAAACTTGACAGATCTATATTTACCTTCAATTTCAAATGCAAGATTTGACCAGTAATAGGAGAACAATAGATAGGCTGGCTCCAGGTGCTAGAAAGGCCCACTGTATGGTCACTGTGCATGTGAGAAAGAAAGAATAAGCGAGCTTGGCTAGCTTTTCTTATATTCCAGAAATCCACTGCTATGGGCGTGCCTGCAATCAGAGCCCCGTTCATCAATCCAACTCTTTCAGACTCCTGTAAACCAAGAGAAAGATGTGAGTATCATCAAAAAGAGGTTTGGAGAAAAAACTTATAGACTGGGATACCTGATGTTCAGAATGGGATAGTCTGCCATCAAGGGTATGAACTGGATCAAGACAATATAGGACTTTGACAGCCCTATGTAATCAACAGGCATATACTAATTATTCCCAGTTAAAGGGACTGAGGTTCTGATGATAGTACATCGTGACATTCTTACAGCTCAATTGCAAGCACTGTCTTAGAGGTAAATCCCACTAAATTCAATGTTACTGTAATCCATAAATTAAGACTTGAGTAAACATATCAAGGACAGAGCTACTGATTCTTCACTTAAACAGCTAATAAAACACAGAAAAATTCAGATTCTATTGTAGATTTCTGAGAACTATTTGAATACTGGGGACACTGTTCTCCTCTCTCAGTAAAGGAAGGATTAGCTGTTAGTTCACTGTATATCCTGTGCAGTAGGGCCCCAGCCACACTAGTCCTTCATGCAATATAATTCAGCTGTAGTAGTAGTCTTATCTGAAAGAGATCCTTGAAAGTTCTCCACAAGTCAGAATGCACTGTCCATGATGGGAGCAACATATTGTCACTTGTTCTAATTTCAGTGGGGTAGCCATGTGCAGAAGTGGGTTCTACTCAGTCATGATCCAAGCCACGTGGTAGCCTACAACTATGAGAGGGAGGGAAGGCAAGCCAAATCAGCTTCTTGGCCTCCTTTCAAGTTTGCCCCTCTAACTTTACTCTACCAACGGGTGGAACTCTTTTTTCCTATCAGCTAGCTTCACCCAATAGCCTTTTCTATATAGTATTACGGATTTCTTACAGGATCCGATTAAGTCATAATTGCCATAGACAGTGGGATGGCTTTTAGATGGAGTGTTGAAAACAAAGTTTCAGGGACTGTGCATTTATGCATTATGCAACAAAGTCAAGTTTTTACTGAAGATTTTGGAAAGCATCAATAATGTATAACAAAAAATACAAAAATATACCAAATTTTTAAACATAGGTTACAAAAGACTGTAAGAGTATTTCAAGTAAGATAATAAAAACATAAAACACATCCACCCAACCCTGACTAAACTGTTCCGTATTCTGCTAGGATCCAGAAAAAAGCAATTTCTTTTCATTCAACCTCCTTTCACAGATCAGCTCCTTATAGGGATGCCAGCCTCCAGGTGGGACCTGAGGATCCCCCAGAATTACAGCTCATCTCCAGACTAGAGATCAGTTCCCCTGGAGAAAAAAAGATGCTTTGGAGGGTGGAATGTAAGGCACTGAGGTCCCTGTCCTCTCCAGTTTCCCATCCTGCACCTGGCAACCCTACCCCCCCGCCCCCAATCCCCCGCTGGTGGCCAGAGGGGACCTGGCAACCCCAGCTCCTTACCTTGTTATACAGCCAATTTCTCCTCACTTCTTTCTGATGCTCTGACTTGTCCTTCTTTCTTCTCACTAGGTAGGTTCCTCTTGCTTATGTAAGTTAGATCTGGCACTCTGCCATAGATTTTGACAGATCAGTATGAGCTTTCAGTTAGGCTGACCTTATTTTCTGCCTGAAAATAATCAACACTGTTTTTGCCCCAAAGCAAACAAAGTACAAGAAATATGAAGCACAAAATGATAGCTTCAAATTCTTCCCATAGCCCACAAAAGTTTGTTAGAATAAAACTATTGGTCTTTAAAATTGCCACCAGACTCTTTTTTCTCACTTGTGAAATTATCCTTCCCAGTATGAGATGCAGAATTATTGTGCATCATATCTGAGTAGAATTATGGTATGGAATTAATAGGTCAGAGGCCAACAGCATCTCTGGATAGTAGTAGAAGAAGAAGAGATTGGATTTAAACTCTGCCCATCACTACTCAAAGGTGTCTGAGCGGCTTACAAACTCCCTTCCCTTCCCCTCCCCACAAAAGACACCCTGTGAGGTGGGTGGGGCTGAGAGAGCTCTGACAGAAACGGCTCTTTTTCAAGAACAGCTCTTATCAGAACTATGGCTTGCCCAAGGCCATCCAGCCAGGTGCAAGTGGAGGAGTGGGGAATCAAACCTGGTCCTCCCAGATTAGAGTCCGCGCACTTAACCACTACACCAAACTAGTACTGTGAACAGCTCCGAGAGCAAGCTAACAGTTAAGATCTTTTCCATCAATGGCCCACCGGCACAGGTAAGGTATGCGGCAGAGACAGGGCTTTTACAATGGTGGCACTTCACCTTTGGAATATCCCCCGAAGCTGTCACTTAGCTACCAAGTTAAAACATCTCCTTTACACAAACCTTTAATTGGGGGGGGGGGGTTTCCCATCTTTTTTTAGTTGCATTATTATCAGCTTGTAGCCTGAGAGCTTCTTTATGAATATCATTTTATTTATTCACAACATTACAAACAATTAAAATACATCATAAAACCAATTAAAATTGAGCTAAAATACACATATAAAAGTACGGGCACAAAATTAAAACACAAGGCAGGAAGGAGGGATCATTGAGGGAGCATCAGAGGAAGGAAAAAAGTCTTCACCCACTGGTGGAAGACAGTGACATAATTTGGGCACCATGACCAGGAAGGCCACCTCTCGGGCTGCCACCCATCTAACCTCAGAAACCAGGGGCACCCAAAGCAGGACCTCAAATGATGACTGCAGCAGTTAGGAAGGTTTGTATGGGAGCAGGTGGTACAAAAGGTATGCTGGACCTGAACTGTATTGGGCTTTGAAAGTCAACACCCAGCAGCTAGAACTGGACCCAGGAAGAAAATGAGAGCAAGTCTAGATTGAAAACTGGAGTAATACTCCAGTTAACCTCCTGGTTGCAGCATTTTGCACAAACTGACGTTTCCAAACATTTTTCAAGGGCAGATCCCTGTAGATTGCATTGCAGTAATCTGATCTAGGTGTTACTTCCCTGTAGAGTGCATTGCAGTAATCTGATCTAGGTGTTACTGGGGCATCCATCACGGTGACCAGATCCTTTCTGCTCAGGAAATGTCACAGCAGGTTGACCATTCAACGGTGATAAAAGGCACCCCTGGACACCTCTGCCACCTGTTTATCCAGAAGTAGGCCTGGATGCAACAGCACCACCAAGCCATGGACCTGTTCCTTCAAGAGAAGCCCAATCCCCTCCAGGGAAGAAGATACCTCAAATCCTACCAGTAGCACTTCTATTTTGTCAGAATTAAACTTCAGTTTATAAACTGTTATCCATTACAAAACTGTCTGCACGAGCTGATGCACCATTCCTACAGCCTCCCTGGGATCAGCCAAAAGCATGAAATAGAGCTGAATGTCATCTGCACATCCAGCCCAAATCTCCAGAGGATCTCACCCAGTGATTACATGTTAAAGACAAGATGAGACAAGATGGGACCCTGCAGGATTTCCTACTGAATGTCTGAACCTAGGCTATTGTGTTATTTAATGTAATTTTTAGTATTAACAATAATTCTTATGTTACTTTTATGATTTATTGTATTGGATAGATAGATAACCTTTGTTGGCATGTGAAAAATAAAAGTACATTACATTTTTTTTAAAGTACATCGATCATAAGACCAACCAAAATGAAATAGATCAGTTAATAGCTTCCCTGGATTGAATTGCAGACTGGAGAAAACAGGTGACATTAGAGGTTATGAGAAAGTTGTGTCCAGAAAGTAACCACTGAACCTTGACACTGTCAGGGAGGCCACACCATGTACAGAGAAGGGAGTTCAGAAATTTTTCTCTAATTTTAATGTATAATGTTGGACAATTTAGTAGAATATGGGGAATTACTGTATTGTTTTTACTTTGTGAGTGCCCTAAGTAGTTACCTGGAGAGCCAGCATATACATTTTCTAAACAAACAGGCCAAGGGGAATGTGGCTTATGGATCAGAGGCAGGAAGTGCTAAAATGATTTACCAGAGATCTTCTTGTAACTTAAACTGCAGTTGTCTTCCCCCCCCCAAAAAAGGACAATAATCAGAGGCGGTGGGCTGGCATCAGGATTCATTTCCTGACTGTAAATGTTAAAACATATGAGTCCTGCTCTGTAGGACTTCTTGCAACCAAACCGCACTCATTTCAAACAATGAGAGCCGAGAATTATCAGTAAATAGGTGCTCAGAAGGGCCTGCAAGGATCTTATGCAAAATTAGATCCGACTCCTTGCACGAGAACACTTTGCATATCTCGTGTGCTCAACACTACGAGCAGACACTGCGCTTTTATGGAAGCTTACTCTGAAGTAAATACATCGATTATAACAGGACTTACAGATAAGCCTGTCGCAGGTATCTCACATCACTGAGGTATCCTTTCCGAGTAAACATGCATCTCGTGTGCCGTGGCGGTGGCAGGGCTCCGGGAGTAGTCGGCGGCGAGCAGGATAAACCGCTTTACAGCCAGGGACTGGTGCCAAAAGGTTTGCCGTTGCACAAGCTGCTCCAGAGCCGACTCGATCTCCTCTCCCCGTCCCCAAATCAGGATGCAGCGAGGAACAGCGTCGCCTACTGTGGTTCGTAGCAAGCCTGTGCCACAAAACGGAACAGGCGGGTTCTTGACTTAAAAAAATGTTTTGAGGGGGACTCTCTAAACACTCCTGCTCGATTCTGAAAGGGAAGAAATAGTGGCGGTAGAGCTACCAGCCGCTTCATCCCCGCCCCCGTTCAAATCTTGCGCATTACGAGGCACTAGAAGAATTTAAAGCACGCTTCCCGCCAAAGAACAAGGAAAGTTTACTCACTCACAAGACACTGCATTAGGTGCGCATGCGCCACAAAAAAAAGAGGCTTGTGCCACTTGAGATTGGCTAGCGGAAGTACGGAGGCTTCGTACTCGAACGTTCGCTGAGAATCGGAGCGATTTTCTAGGGCTAAAAGAATAAATCCCATGCAGGTTCTTAATTCCGGTTCCGATAAAATCTTGGATGTGCGGAGTAAGGCTGCAATCATGAGAACATTTTCCCAATGAATAAACTAGAACTTACTTCCAAGTAGACCCGTTTAGGATTGCACTGTAAGAATGGTTACAGTACGCAAGCTCGTTTTTCGTCGCAGTGGTTTCAACTAATGATGTCTTCTATTATCCCCCTCCCAGATATCTTGCCTGTTTCTCGTTACTTCTGAGTTTCTGATTTGTTTATTGTTTTCAGTGACTATGGGGGGAAAGGTTAAAAACTGGATTTCAGCACTTGAGGTTTTTTTAAAAATCAAGGATACGGCGGCTAATTCAATCGACGAAACTGGATTAATTAACGGAGCTGATTCAATTTAAAAACTACATCTCCCAGAGGACTTTGCGACTGAGGGGAACGGGAACTGTAATGTGCATTTATATGATTCTCCCCGCCCCCCCCCCCCCCTCCGGTGGCTGCTGACCTGGGAAACACCCGACTGACGAAGTGTAGAACATATTCAATACTACTAATTACTGGGTAGACAGAAAAGAGATTGTTAATGGAGGCAGTCCTAAAAATATGGGCTTTGTAGGTCTTAATCAACTGTGTAGACAGAAAAGAGATGGTTAATGGAGGCAGTCCTAAAAATATGGGCTTTGTAGGTCTTAATCAGCACCTTGAATTAAACTCGAAAACAAAGTTAACTAAAGTAATGACCTCAACACAGGTGTAAAGTATCATTTGTGGCTAACCCAGAGAATAAACGAACAAGCCCCAGGTTTTTACATGAGTGGTTTCCATTTTTTAAAGGCACATAGCAGGATGTGCTCGGTACGTTTCTGCCAAACAACTGTTTTTATGTATTTTATTTGACTTATATCCCGCTCTCCCCCGCCACAAGCGGGCTCAGGGCGGGTCACAACATTTCGCTTTGTGTGTAAAAAGCACCGGGGGGGGGGAGTAATGCTACGGCGGATGTTCTCAAAGAACTTTACCATCTACCTACGTATCTTCTAGGCCTGCTGACCTTGTATAAGTTTTTACGCACATTTCGGTACTTTTCTACCACTCTGACCCGTACATGGAGGATTCTAGTCAGGCCGCCGGAAGTTGAACTCGAGCTCTACGAAGAGTTTCCGGTTGCATAAGGCGAGTGGGTGGAACGAGCGAGGTTCGTGCTTAGATCCGTGTGAAAGATAAACGGGGGCTTGGTAACTCCCCCCCTCTTTTACTTGCCCTCCTGGGGTTTCCATGATAACGACCTTTCCCCACTTTTCCGGAGTCTTACGGGGTTCCCTATATAAGATTTCATGTTATGGCTGTCTAGCTTTTAAAC